CAGGAGAGCTGGAGAGGGACTTGGGACAAGGGATGGAGGGACAGGACACAGGGAATGGCTGGACACTGGGAAAAGTGAGATTTAGATGGGAATTTGGGAAGGAATTCCTGGCTGTGAGTTTGGGGAGAGCCGGAGATTTTCCAGAGAGGTTGTGGCCTCCTAATCCCTGGATATTTTGTGTAGGAAGGGACCTTAAAGCTCATCCAGCTCCAACCCCGACACCTCCCACCGTCCCAGGCTGCTCCAAGCCCCGTCCAACCCGGCCTTGGACACTTCCAGGGATGGGGCCTCGAGCCAGGAGGTCCCAGGAGCGTGGGAATGAGAAGTTCCCAGCAGGGTGACCAAGGAACAGTCAAGGGACGAGTGTTGGTGGCAGGAGAAGGGATGTGGATTCTTTCCCTCTCCACGGGAACGTTGGGAATTCTGGGTCCGTTCCTGGGCCCCGCAGTACACGAAATTCACGGATTTATGGAAGAAATCCAGCCCAGGGATTTGGGAATGACGAAAGGAGCGGAGAACCCGACCTTTGGAGAGCTTCTGGAATCTCCATCCAATGAAATCCCCAAAACTCACGGACGTGCCTGAGCTTCCCCCATTAGCTGATCCTGTCAGGGAGTTTGGATTAAAGGATCTCCATCATTTTTTTTTCCCCCAAAATCATCCATTCAGCGATTCCGTTGACGTTTCATGAATTATTTTTCAAGCTGGATTTTTCTCAGCGCGTACCAAGTCCCCTCTAAATACTCAATTTTCTTTTTTTTTTTTCTCTTTTTGTGTGTGTGTTTTGTAGGTATTTGAAGAAAGACGAGCCCTCCTTGGAAAATGGGTAAATTTTCTCTTTAAATAAATATTTGCTGCGGGCAGATTTTGGAAGCGATCGGGAGTTTAATCTCATTGGAACACAGAATTCCTCCTCTTTGGAAAAAAGGGATTCACTTCCCTGCTCTGCTTTTGAGGAGAGGTGTCCGTTCCCTCAGCTCCCACATTCCGTAAGTTTTGAAGTCGGGGAAATCACGTTCCATCCTTGGAATGAGCTGAAACGAGATGAAAAAAACCTGGGAAATGTCCGTGAAGGCTTCAGAGGAGATGCTGGATGTTCAGATGGTGTCTTTGAAACCTGCAATAAATAACATTTTATCTACCAAGTGCACACACAGATTGG